ATATCAAAATTCAGGATAATTTTGTTTCAACCTATTGATCAGAAGGCTCTGTCCTGAGAAAAACTCTTGTATGCCCAAAAATAATCATAATGTGCCTATATATGGTCATATGATGTCATCATGACCATATTAAGTCATGTCACATGTTTTTGTCAAATAAAATAGTGGTGGACAGGGATCAATACTATAATACATTACAATTATTAATTCTTTATATCTAAATTCTGGACAATTTTGTTTCAACCTATTCATCAGGAAAATCAGCTATTCAATTTGATATTAATTAGAGATGTACCGTCCCTTGAAAATGACCAAAATCATAAACAATCATTTTAAAATTAACTTGCTCATTTTGCAGTAACATACAATTTATTAACTTGAGCATAGAAATTATTACATTAAAAAAATGTGTTCTCTGATTTTTTAACTGGATAATTATAATAAAAAGATAATAAAACACTTCCAGTGACTGGAAGTGTTTCTATCATTTTTTCACTGTAAAATGATGGTTTTTATGGGTAATAATGGGTAATAATTCCAGCTAGTACTAGTTAATGAACTGTATGGAACACCAATAGAGACAGCAGTGCTTAAGTGTTCTATTGTAATTTGAAATGTGCATGAAATTTTAATGTAATGTAAATGCCCTGTTTAGTATAGCAGAAATTTCAATATAAAAGAGAAATAAACAAATAAAATTCAATATCTAACAAAAATCTGAATAATTAGTTTTCTCAAAAAATGTATGGTATCATATATATATCCCTGATGAAGGTATTTCTAAAATACAAAATTAATTATATTAATTGTTTATTATGCAATGTACTTTATTTTATTTAACTATTTATTATTAACTATTTCTAAACCACAAATTAATCATATGTCATATGTTTATTATACAATACCTTATAAAAGGATAATAGGTTTTCTTAGTGATTTTTAAATCACTGATGTAGACATTTCTCCATCTACAACATTTTAATGTCTTGTCATGTTTAACACTGGAAGTGCTTCAAGTTTTAATTATTCTGGTTTTTAAGAAAGTCAATAAATGTAAATTTGAAGTTGAAGAATGATCTAAGAATTTCAAGTGTTCTCTTAACCCATGCTATAAAGGGGTCCCTCCAAAAATTACTCATGCCCCCCCCCCCAGTCGCTTCCTCAGAAATCACGGTCAAGTAGTTAAAAATCACATAAAATCACCTTATCTGACAAACAGACACAAAGACAGACAGACAAACAAACTAACAAACGGGCAAAAATATAAACTTTTTGGCGGAGGTCGTTACAACAATATAGAATTTCCAAATTTAGAAAATAAAAATGCAGAGGTTTAGTCACAGGGATGTGTCAGTTCTGCAATTTGTTAAGAACGGTCAACTGTTGGTCGAAAATTATGTTTGAAAATTCATTCTGTGGAACAATTCTCATAATTCTGAAGGGCATTTTTTACCAATAAAGTATGAAATTAGGTCAAAAGCTGTCGTCCTGAAATTGAAAGTCAAAGTAAACTGAAACTTATGATGATTCAATCAGATCCCCCGATTCAAACATCCAATAAATTAACAAAACATAGTAAACTGTAGCCTACATATAACTTCCGATAGTTAACATTAATTATTAAATATGGGTCTTATAATTTTGTTGGATTTAATGGAATTGGAGCAGAGAATATAGGGCTGACAGGAACTGCACACAATTTAATGTATGCACAGTGTCTCCCATCAGTAGCCAACAATCTATGCTCAACAGAACATTAAAAACTAGTACACTGTCACTTCTGTGAGGGTTGAGGCTCCTTTGAATTGATTGCCATCAATTTAATTTCCAAATAAGTTACATTTTATGGCATATTGTGCAAAAAAAGCTTACAAGTTTGGCCTTGTAAGGTTCACACTAAGATGTTATAAAAATTTTATAAACTTTAAAAATAAAAAAACAAAATAGTGTATTAATTATAAATAAAAAATGTAGAATTCTCAAGGTATGCTCCAAAGGAGTCACCTTTTGGCATCACTGTTGCTATGGTTTCCTAAACACCAACAGACCTGACTCAAACAACGGAAAAAGGCACTGGGTAGCAGTGGTACTCAGTAAGAAAAACAACCAGGCAATTAGTTTTATTTTAAAAGGGGTCAAGCTATTGTATAGGGTCAACAAGTCTAGTTAAATAAATATCCTCCTTATCAAAAGCTTTTTTTAAAAATATGTGATGAAATCAAAAAAAAAAAGATGCTTAGAAAAGGCAAAAGTTAAAACAAGTCCTGGCAAGGAAAAATAAGGAAAGGGAGGGGGAATAAATTCAAGATTAAAGGCAGGATAAGACAGTAGAAGATCCACCACGGTATGGGAGCAGTAATCTAGTTGGGAAAAATTCTGGCATTTACAAAGTCTGTCTCTTATACACATCTAGATGTGTATAAGAGACAGACTGTACACATTTCCAATTCATAAACATCCTAATACAAAACATGATATATTAACTCCAGACTTACTAACAGTATTTATTTTCACAATCAACAACATTCTATATTAGCTCCAGATTTTTACATTTTCATAATCATCTATGATTTAATTTTCTAATTCACATTTCCATTATATTTAATGTTCATACTTAAAATTCATTTACAGTACATGTTATTGTACCCTTAAGAATCGTAAAACACCAAACACCCGATCGTATAACATAACATATAATTCACACACAAATTACTGGGGTCCCATGTCTTCTGAAAGTTCTAGCATTTATACTCTAGCCAGAACATATACATTCTCCTGTAAGTGAAGTTGAATAGCTTGGTGGTTATGATCCTTGCCTTTTAATTCCTGTGGCAGCTGGATTTTTTCACACGACTCTCTGAGTTTCATTATGAGACGGTTAATAAAGCATAACTGGGCCCTGTGGGAGAACAGTAGAAACCAATACACTATATAGAAGGAAAATGAATTAATTCTGAATGTTTACATGTTTTTACTTTACTACATTACTGTATTCAGTGGTTCTATAAAGTTGGCTGACTGTGGGTATTATAATGTGTAGTAACTGTCTCTTATACACATCTAGATGTGTATAAGAGACAGGGTTTAGGTTATTCCAAATAATGGCTTACTATTATGAAGAACTTCTTTTCTTATATTCATTTCATTTCATTTATTCGTCTTACAAAAAAAAAAACAAAAACAAGAACAACTGAGACAGGATTCCCAACAGCGAACTGAATCAAACTATAAAAAGGGTTCTCCTCAAAGAACACTACAATACTATAATAATATTAATAATATAATAATAATAATATTATAATAATGATAAGCCTAATCATAATTATTATATAACAACAACAACAACAACCAACAACAGTAATATATACATATGAATAATATAATTATTAATATATAATATATAGATGCAAGTAATAACTCATTACTGTATAATTAACAACACCAACTACAATTATGACTCCCTTCACTAGTTTTTACCAACATCCTCTGACAATAAGATTATTTATCATAATATAGTATTGCATTTTCATATTAGGTTATTAATGAAAATGAAATTCCATGTTTTTAACAGAAAATCTCAAATGCATTTGTTTTCAATAGTCATCTCCACCCATGGCTTCCGAGCACAACCTCCACAGAAAAAAGCTCTCTGCCCACCACGGTTGCCCCATTGGAAATGTTAAAACAAAAAAATATGCCCAAGTAGTTAAAAATCACCGCATATCACCATATTTTTTATCAAGAGAGCCCACTCTAACTTCATGATCGAGCCTCCCCCAATTCACTTTCGTGCCACCCCCTCCCCACCCAATAGTCCCACCATTCCAAGACTCCTAGAATATATGCCATTGATCTCCACCAGGTAGAAATCGTTTCACTTGGAAACCCGGATGCATATGCAATGCAGTAATGAACCGCTTCCCATCCTTGGGGAGTATTTCTCATCACGCATTCAGGAATTCAGGATCAGACAATACATTATTATTAGTGAATTCAAAGCCTATCATAGCTTATTGTGGGCAAGACAAGTTTAATAATGCAATGTAATATCATGCACATACCGTTTCACGAAGAGACACAAATTTTAATTTAGACAAAAACAACAATTTGAGAAAAACACGTTTGGGACTGGGCTATTTGAAGACAACTTTTAAAGAATATTTTCATAGAAGTATATTTGTACTGGATGTATTGTCTACCATTGTTTGCATTCTCCTAAAATTAAGTTTTAAAATGGTTACATGTACTATTTTGAGAAAGAAGAGTGAATAATTCCTGACTTAATTATTCCCAGTTGGTGCAGAATAGTATTCTGGGAAGCTACAGCTTGCTACAGTAGCAATTTTATTTTATGAATTTGGCAAACATGGGCTGGAAGTGAAGGTAAAAACAACAGGATGAAATGAGCAGGAGTGTTGCCAAATTTAGGACCCAGACAGTAGGAGATCCACAATTTTCTGGGGGAGTAGCGCAAGTTGCAGCCAAGGACCTATAGTCTGAAGTCTTCTTTAACCCACACACAAAACCTGTCTCTTATACACATCTAGATGTGTATAAGAGACAGGAGTGTGAGCGCTCCCTTTCTCTCCTTTTGGATCTGCCACTGATATGCAGAACCCTGATGGTTTACTCAAAACTTTCAGTCAATGAAAAATCTAAAAATATAACACAATATTGAATATAACACAATACTGTATTATTTACTATGTATAAACTGAACACAAAATTATGGGTAGGTCTACCATTTCAAGCATTTACAGTAGGTAAGATTTCACAAATTCCAATATTTTGCCTAATTTTATTAACATAAAATTAAACAGATGTTTTGACTTTTCTCAATCTTAAAGGCTTAAAGTGGACTTTAAAATAAATTTACAACTTCAGGAAAAAAATATAAATGTCCTGAATATTCCACTTTGCGATATAAGTAGTCATATTTTCATTACACACAAAACTTAAATATTGAGATGATAAAAAGTGTAAAGATTGTAGGCAAAGAAAAGACATTTGTATTGCAACACTCACCTTGTTAAACCAGTTTCTTTCTGGAATGTGTTTTCTGCATACTTCATTTTCTCATTATCTAAGAGGTACATATCTTTATAGTCATACTTCAATGAGAAATTCTTTGCAAGATTATAATACTTATCAGTTGCTTTGTTGATTTTTATGTTGTATAGCCACGGCACAATAAGCTTATCAGGTTTTGTTGTCACATTTGAAAGTATTTCTCTTTGCAATGCAACAGACTGGTTCAGCCATAGCATGTTTACGTGTCCCATGACACGGACTGTCGTCTTAGTCCCAACATATTTTTCATAACCAATAATGGGAGCGGAATTCATGCGAATGACGCACTCATACTTGTCGATCTCTTCGCCAGCACTTGAGTTTAGGAGATGACCTGAGCTGGCAACAACAGCACACTGGGAGCACCGAAGCTCCAGTTTCTGTGAAGTAGAAAAATTTTAAAATTTAATGGTGATGTACTCCTTAAGTGCTTGTGTTTCTCCTTATTTATATACAAATCCATCTAAATATAAATATTATAATTACTACTTATTAGTAGAACTACAGTACTACTATTACTAGTGTTATTAGGTAGTTTTTGCCGCACAACGTTAACCTTAACTTTAACGTTATTACCCAACATGCAACGCGATAGCTCCAACTCTTTTGTAAACAAATTGAAATACACATGTGCAAACCCGCAACTAAAGTACGTTGAGCACGTAAAATACTGAAATTAACGTACTAAGTTAACATTTAGGTTAACGTCGTGCAGCGAAAACTACCTATTAGGCCAAAAAAAAAAAAACTTGTTTATTGTCACCGCCCGACCCAGATTTTCTAGCCGCCTCTCTTTTTTTTTTTTTTTCTTTTTTTTTGTAAAAAGTGATAAAAATGCCAATAATAGAGAAAAAAAACGATTGTCTTTTTCATCTTCAGCACAGGGAACAAGACGTGAAGTGTGCCACCAACATTACAAGTGTGTTTTTTCTGCAGAAAAAAAAAACTGATTCCCTCACATGTGCTTGTTGACATAAATCGTGGATGATTTGATCGGTAGTATAGTAGTAGGCGTACATGTTTTTATTTGATTCTTTTTAGATAATAAACAATATTTTAATATGATAATAATAAAAGTACTATGAAGACAAAGAATAGGTTACGACCTACGCTTCAATTAATTGGCAGATGTTTTAGGCCTAGCCTAAGAACTACTACTAACTAGGCCTAGAAGTTAGTAGGCTAGGCATACCTGGCCTAGGGCAAGCCTAGCACTGCAGCAGGCAATTTTAAATATTATTATTGTTATTGGTATTTATTATTATTACTAGTAAAACTGAACAACATCCTGCACTTCCAAAAAGTACTCTAAATATTCATTTATAATTATTTATGTTTTCTGGGATGATTAGAGTGAATACTAAGAAACTAACTGGCTTTCCATTTATTGAGGTTTTGAGGTTAACATTCAATTAAAGATTTACCAGTGGTAAATCAATTCAAATTATTATCATTTTATCAAACTCATAAAATACATGGTTTAAAAATTGTCTTGACAAAAATAAATGGGGGGGGGGGGATATAAGATATTGTTAACATTGCAAGTTTATGGTATGATAGGAACTGGTGAACTAAATTGCACAGCAATGCATTTTCGTAAGAACATGAGGTTAAAGGTCAAGGTGAACAAAATATTTAGAACCTACATCTGATAGTTCTATTATCAAAGCACCCATGAGAAAAAAAGCACTTCGATGAACAAGCACCCCATTCGAATGAACGCCCACTTAGGGGGAAATTTCCTCAAGCAATCGGTTTGAATAGATACCCCACTTGTTTTTTAACTGTATACAATATACATACTGTTTTAATATAACTGTATACAATACATACTGTATACTTTGAATGCTTTTTAACCCACACACAAAACTAATATGCAGTGAAACTAAAACGCAAACTTTTAGCACATTCTACTTTCTCTTTTACAAAAAAAAAAGAGCATTTCTTATCAAAATTTATTAACTTGATCATAACTTATTTGATCAAGGTAGCATTGTTTAATTTTTTTTATGATGAATTGTTGATGCCCACAGCTGACACGTGGGAATTGAACTGTAATTTAATCGATACAAATCTTGAATATCTGTTCTATTCATAGCTCTGAGGAACACATTACTTATTATCTGATTGAGAAATGTTCGTACTTGAATTTCAAATATGTTTATAAAGAACGGATGCAATTGGCAAATTTCCTATAAATTACCACTTATACTGTAATTTCTTTGCAAATTTTTTACAGTTTCTATAAATTTTACATTTGAATAAGCAAAATAAACACCTCCAAATTCCCTACATTTACAACAGAATGCCTATTAATAGGAAGACTCCCTACTGGAACTAAAATGTGTGCATTATTAGGGGATCCTCTGACTACATCTATGGGTACCCCATTAGGGAACACTTTAAACCAAAATTTGAAATAGTCTGTTTAATACAGATTTTGTCACATAGCCATACAACACAGATTCTTCCTAATTATTTTAATTGACCTCAGAGTGAGTTAAAATAATAAAATAAAATTATAAAAACTTGTCTCTAATTTTGCCATCATACGTAAATTTTTTTTTTTAAATGTAATTTTTAATATTCAATATTGCACTATATTTTTAAATAATGACTTTTAAATTTATCCTTGACAATTAATTCTATATTTATACTTTTGTAATTTTATATTTATTCAGTCACATAATTCTGCGTGTGCTGCAATGGACTGTTCTTGTATGTGATTTTTTACTGAATAAATACCTACAATAAATAAACAGTATTTGCAAAACAAATACGATTACATTTACAATATGAAAACAACATATAATTGTAATTAAAACAACAGTAGTTGTATATTGTTTCATGATCCTGGTGAGCCTATAATGATTAACGATCTAATAATATCTTTTTATTGAACTTTCTATTGGATGCTCTATATAGATTATCATGAAACTGTGTAATGAGTTTGGATTGGAATAAAAAATCTAGTGAAAGTATAGGTTTATTCATTTACCTTGCTGTCAATGAGTCTTTCATACCCTTCTACTGTTGCAGCTTCTGTAGGTTTTACTGGTTTTATTGTCACATTTTGCTTTGTGGTTACAGAAACACTTGGTGTCACAATTTGTTTCTGAACAGGTAACTCCTTTGTCCTTACATCCTTGGCTATAAAGGATTTATTTTGAAAAGATATATTTTTTAATTGAAATAATTCCCAGTATTTTCGTAAAGACGTGAAGTTGTACATTGTTGTTCCTTGTGTTGATACCGTCAAGCGAGACGCTGATGTGACACTAGTTGAGGTGCTGCGAATCATTTCTTCAACAAATAAAGAATTGTAAAAGCGTCGAATGTGTGATTCTTGGTGTTTTTCATGAGTGTAATACAGAAACACGGATGAAATAAATACAGAATACCAAAATATTAATAATATTAAGTTGTTCCGGTTCTGGGGGAAAAAAAGAAAATTATTTGTGAGTACAAACAATAATTTTGTTGTCTGTTACATTTTACCATTTTTTGTATATTTTGTAAATACCAACATTTTTAGAATTTCTCTAAAAAAAGTCCTTGAGAAAAATACCAGAATGTAATGTTAGCATGTTAATGAGCATGTATATATCATCTTTTCTTTCAGTGAAACAGTAACACAAAGCAATTTACTGGCTTTTTTATTAAGTCTGTTAAAAATTTTTAGCAGTATTTTTGTTGATTCAGCAAAATGATGAATGAAAAATAGGAAAACTATCATAATTTTCCTTTATATAGAAATATAAAAATTATCCTTTCCATAAAAAATTGAAATAGAATTAGATAAAGTTTTTAGAATTAATTCATAAGCTTCATACTCTTTTTTGGCAACCTAATTTTTATTGTATATTTTTAAAATGAAATGATAATGTGAAAGGGTTCAAGGGCTGGGCTGTAATTGCATGCTGCCATAATTGTACACTGTACCCTCCAATTCTATCAAATTTTAACACTATAAACAACTTGACTTCTTTTCCAGAGGATTGTGACTAGCAATCAGGGCTGGGAAAAGTTCACGACCAGCGGTCGGAGGCACCATGAATCTCCTGGAGGCATTTTGGGTCAAAAAAATAAACTGCTACGCTATGTAGCGTACAGATTACATTTAACTGCTACGCTATGTAGCGTACAGATTACATTTAACTGCTACGCTATGTAGCGTACAGATTACATTTAACTGCTACGCTATGTAGCGTACAGATTACATTTAATGCTCGAGGCATTTATCAAGACAATTTTCATGGTCAGAGGCACAAACATTCTTTTTTCCCAGACCTGCTAGCAATGCCAGAAATGATTAGTATAGTATGGGGTTCTTGTAGTAGTTGCATTATAATAATGGGTCACTCTTTAAAAGGTTAATCTACTGAAATCTTATTCCCGCAAGAGCAATTTAAATATTAAAAGATACTCATTCATAAACAATAGTTCATTGTAATAATTTATTTTTTGCTTTTCTATCATTAAAATCTTATTCAATATGTGAGAACTATTAATTTTGTGTTCATATGTGTCTCTTTGAAAACCAATAACTTATTTAATACTTTCGTCAAGCTAGAATTATGTTTTAATTCTTTTTTTGGAAAATTTAATATTACGGTGGGTCAAATTACACATTTTACATTCAAATTCTGCATATTAATTTTCAAAACATTTAAGTTTTTGTCATTTATTCACCATACATAAATGTTTATTATTTTCAAATAATTAAATGATAGACGTGACACAATTATGTGAGGTAGATCAGCTCTGAATTTATTATTTTTTTCCATATTATATATTTTGTAGTGTAACCATGTGTTCTTTTTTATATATTTTTTTTTTGGATTGCAGCAGAATCGCATATAGCATGAAGCTATTAAAAATTATAGCTCTGTGCTAATACCAAAATACAAATACCAGTATAATTTCATTCTATTTGGCTTTCCTGACCCAGCAGTAAGAATTAGCAGCATTGCTTATAGCTTCTTTGAGAAACATAGTGCATCGATAATGACAATAATTACAAAATATTTTTCTATACAAAATAGAAAAATTAAAATTAAATAGGAATATTCAAATATTCTATAAAATATACAAAACAGGAAGAAACTTGTTGAAGATTAATAATTAAATTACATTCAATTTATCAACATTAATTTCAATTATGGTAAATAAAAATTACAATATAATTAGCGTTGTTACAACAATATGTACATAAATGAACACAGGAAAAACCATTAACTAGGATGTAAACTGAAAGACAAAATGTCTTGTCATGTAAAACCCTAAACCTGAAGAAGCTATCTTGAGCTAACGAAAGGCTCATGTTTCAAATCTATCAGTCAAAAAAAGCTGATACTCCTTTCATTTGCTGTAATAAATGCTGAATTTTAATAAATAGCATTATAATTTAATTAAATTCTAAAAACATAAAATAATCAATACTGTATTTCTGATAATTTTCACAATAAGAATCTATTTTATGACAAGTTTACATTTGCATTATTTCACTATTTAAACAAAAATCAATTTTATAACCAGTTTTAATTTACTATAATTAAAAATAAAGTAGGTTAATGATAATTTCACTATAAAATTACATTAATAACAATGTAATTGCAATTACAGTGTTCTCCCAATAACACACTATGACTGGTAAATTTGCCCATAAAAATTCAGCTACATGCACAGTGCGAGACGTTATCCTTTTTGAGTGGAGTTTAATGACTTGAAAGAAACAACATAACAGTCATAGCCTATGTATAGACTGGAATGATGTTCATTTATTGAAAGAAGGCCAGCATAGACCACCTAGGCCTAATCTGTTGTTTTTTATTTCACCCAAACACAACATTTTTACTGGTTGGCCAGTTCATTTTACCGGTAAAATTGACAGCTCAGGGTATTTTTCTGCTGAATAACACCAAAAACATGTACTTTATTAATATGGTTAAATTCCTTCGGAACATGTTTCTAGTGAAAAGTGCAACAAATAAAAACACAGTAACTCGAGCACTGGTAGGTGAGCGGAGCTTATGACGACGTTCACCTAGGGAAGTTGAAGCTGACCTTACATCCTGTCAACTACAGCGTGTTGCGAAAGAAGTAAACACACTGCGAGAGTATGAAATAATTACTCTATGGATAATTATGTGGGGAATAAAAACCCAACTGGAGCTCGTCTAACAAATCGGTGATAACCAAACGGTAGTACATTGCAGCTGAAAAGTGTACTCAAAAACATGCGTTATCTGAACACCAACCATAAAACGAATATGGGTAAAAAATACGCTTATTGAAAACGCATTTTTAACCGTGCTATTTTTAAAAAAACCCCCAATAATAATAAAAATAAAATAATAATAGTAATATAATGCTACTTTATAATGCGGCTATATGTAAAACCTATTCCGAGGTGCACAGAAAATAAAAACAAAAACAAACATCCAATAAAAATTATATAAAGTAGTTAAGAGATAATATTACTACATTACGGTATAAAATACCATGCCATTAAACAATTTGAAATGATAAGTTTTAAGACAGTACTTGTTAAAGAAAAAAAAAAAATCTTACCAGACGGAAACACCACCTAGACCTCCTTCCAGACATCCTGGTCTCAATTGAATATTGATATCAAATATATTACCATCCACTCCATTCCAATAGCACCTTCTAAAGCATCAATACACAATCAGGAATTGCTAATCATCCATATTGATTGGGATTAACACCAAATCATCTTGAACAGAAAACTACATTGATTAAAAAAGTAGAATATATCAGTATTACTACAGTAAAGTTAAAAGTAGAGTAATATTAATAACTATTAATGACAATAAGTAACACTACATAAATTATTGAAATTGACATACCCGGTAATTGAACTACGGTAGATTTAAGAAGAAATACAGTAGAGGAAAGAGGAAGAGTTCATTCAGTGGGTCAATGCCAAGAGAGCACAGATGATCATACTATCTGTAAGTATAGATCAATTGTGCATGAGCCAACCAAAAAAAAAAACACCACAGGGTAACATCTAAGAACTTACCTCATAAACTACAATATAACATCTATGGTAAAAAAAAACACCACAGGGCAACATCTAAGCACCTTACCTCATAAACTACAATACAACATCCATAATAAAAAAAAAAAAAAAAAACACCACATGGTAACATCTAAGAACCTTACCTCATAAACTACAATATAACATCTATGGTAAAAAAAAAACACCACAGGGTAACATCAAGAACCTTACCTCATAAACTACAATATAACATCTATGGTAAAAAAAACACCACAGGGTAACATCTAAGACTCTTACCTCATAAACTACAATATAACATCTATGGTTAAAAAAAACACCACAGGGCAACATCTAAGACTCTTACCTCATACACTACAATATAACATCTATGGTAAAAAAAAAATACCACATGGTAACATCTAACAACTTTACCTCATAAAATACAATATAACATCTATGGTAAAAAAAACACCACAGGGCAACATCTAAGACCCTTACCTCATAAACTACAATATATCATCTATGGTAAAATAAAAACACCACAGGGTAACATCTAAGAACCTTACCTCATAAACTACAATATAACATCTATGGTAAAAAAAAACCAAAAAAAAAACCACAGGGTAACATCTAAGAACCTTACCTCATAAACTACAATGGTAAAAAAAAACAAAAAAAAAAAACCACAGGGTAACATCTAAGAACCTTACCTCATAAACTACAATATAACATCTATGGTAAAAAAAAACACCACAGGGTAACATCTAAGAACCTTACCTCATAAACTACAATATAACATCTATGGTAAAATAATCAATATTGTATTTGTGATGATAATTTTCACAACAAAAATCTATTTTATGACAAGTTTACAATTTGCATTATTTCATTTTTTAAACAAAAATCGATTAATTACTAAATAAAAAATAAAATAGGTAAATGATAATATTGTTATCATTGGATTAACACCAAATCATCTTGAATAGAAAACTATATTGATTTAAAAAGTAGAATATATCAGTATTGATTACTACAGTAAGATTAAATACTTTAAAGTAAGTACAGTAATATCAATAACTCTTTAATGACAATAAATAACACTTACAAAAATAATAACTTGAAAGAAAGTCCAGATATGATTCCAGTTCACAGTCACTAAGAACCCAATCACACTTATTATATCGTTGGCCCTATCATGGGGTGGAAATTTGGAATAACCTAAATATAAATCATTTTGCAACAACTGCCTTATATTTATACCTTTAAAAGACATAAAATAACTGACATGTTGACAGGATTAAATATTTAAATAACGAACAAAAAACTTCAAATTTTCTACATTATCATGACATCACTTTGTAGTCTATAATTTTGTAGAGAATTGATATTTAAGTCTTATTCTTTGTATCTTCTTGCAAAAACGAGCTTGTGAAAAAAAAAACATGATGTTACCAATACAAGCTTTTTTACAAGTTATTATTAGTATAAAGTAAGAAAATTGCATTAATAGGTATAAGGGATTTAGTTTCTTTCAGTAATTTTAATTTTAATGCTAATAATAATTAAAGGTAAGCAATTCAATGAGTTATGATAGTATAATACATACTCCAAGTGGTTTTACATTATAGGGTACATTATCATTTTCAAGTATACTAATATTATTGACGGTATATTTTCAAGTAATACTAACATTATTGACAGTTCGCAAAATTGTTCTATACTATTGTTTAAAGAAGCATTTGCTATACGTAGGCTACACCCATTGCTTAACAATAGGCTGAAAGCTTCAAAGGAGCTTTCTTTGTTCTTGTAGGTAGCTTTGATCAGTAGGGTAAGAATGCTTTGATCTTTAGTTTATTCATAACTATGTCACCTACTAGGGGTAATGTTTTGATTGGTCAAACACTTTTGGTACTTGTGCAGATAAGCTTGCAAAATATGAATAATTTTCATTCCTGATGATGACATAATTAATGTCGAAATACTGAATCCCGACACGATGGTGTGCATTTCAATACTTGGAATATGCATTATACTATCTTATCCGAGATTAATCAGTGGACCTTTCAGTTTTTCAATGAGTTATATTGTTCGAAACGTTCAACATAATTAGCTCAATAACCAATCAAAGGTAGCATTTTCATTCCTACATAATATAATTACGCAAATGGATGTCCAAAATGGAAGCATGTTACATGGGACCTAATCATCTTGATTAAGTTTTTACATTAATTATTAGTAGCGACCTTTGACTCTAGTGCAAAGACTGGCTACAATTGTCTATTCCATCCTGTAAGTGGCGGCTACGTACTCGCTGTGTGAGGAGAATCCAAATTAAACAAATTAAATTAATTTAAAATATACTCTACACTGAGTGAAATCATTATTATCGAAACATACAGTGTATATATTATTTAAATGTTATTTTTCCCAACAGTTAGTATTACCATGTACTGTTTAGTAATTCTTTCAAATTTAGATATCATTGTACTTTATCACTTTATCCTCATTAAATCAAATAAGAATGACGTAGCAAAGTTTGTAAATTCAATTTAACAAATTTCTTGTGTTTAATGCTAGGTTGGGATGATTTACCATTCCACCATCATGTAAATGCGATCGCCTCAAACTTCCTGTCCTGCAATTCATCGACCTGGCCCAAAGGAGAAGTGTGAGCATTAAAAAGCCGAATGCTAAAGGTGAACGGAAAAGTCGTTTGAGTCAGCCATAGTTAAGGGATGACTTAATAAGTGTGATTGGGCTCTAAGGGTATGTTCACACACACAGCGTAAGCCTGGCGTAACATACGCCTTTGTGTGTGAACTAGGCAGTGGCGTTATTAACGCTAACTGTAGATTGCTTGAATGATTTGACCTCATTTCAAGAGATTGGCCAATCACGATTACAATAAATTAGTTACTTTGATCCCTTTCCTGTGCTCTCTATGAATGAAATGGTAAAGGGGTTCTTTTTCTATTGCATTTTACTTAGTTTACAATGTATATGATTTGTTGATTGTGTTTTGTAAGATATTTTAACCTAACTGTCTATTAAAACCTGCAACACCAGCAATTGTTCCACAATGCTAGCTGAAAAATCATAAGTAGAATTGTTCATTTAAAATACAGTATTCATAAAGTTCACTCCGAACAATTCACAGATTTAAAAGTTTTAATGATGCACTGTAATAATTTTACTGTACAGTTAAGAACACGTACATTATTTAAAACTGGAAAATATTCCTCCATAGGCGTTACTACTAGTTTAATGCTAGGGTTAATATAGCGAACGCCATTTGTGTGAACACTTTGGAATTTTAATGTGTGGATTAGGTTACGCCTGCATAAGCTACGCCAGTCTTACACCGTGTGTGTGTGAACATACCCTAAGTTTAAACTTATTCCTCCATGGTGGCAGACAGGACAATTTACTGTATTAAACTCATTTCTTTGACCCATCACCTCACTATCTTTGTTTATATAAGTAAAGGTAGAAACATAAATAACAGGATGCTATTTGAAAGTGACCCAATACTGGTAGATTCTATTGTATTCAACATGTAACTATCGGATGGAGGTTTGTTTTCATTGTTTTTACCACTTCTGTTTAAAAAACCTTGTTTTTCTTCTGGATTTCATGGCATTTTTCTTCTAATCACACACACTATTTTTCACCCAGAGTTCTTCTGCCTGGCATTTTATTCACTTTCTGTGTTTACATTTTCATCCACTTGGTCCAAGCAAAGCACCTTTAGGAAAAATATGTTCTAAAAATCACATACGGCCATTTCATTATTTTTGTTAATTTATGGTATCCTTACAGTTACAATTTTCATTCTTGGTAGAGTTAAACAAAGCACACTAGTACTAAGCTGCAGGTCTTTGTAGAATTTTAACAGCGTACCAGTAACAAAATTGAAAGAAAAAAAACATTTTTGCACAACTACAGTTCGCCGTCTAATTCAAAACCACCTTTAGGATCTGAAAATCTGGTCACAAGGTTTGGCCTCCAATTAGAAGACTAATTTTGTGTTTAAAGATTGAAAATACTGTAATTATTTGTTTCTTTGTAAACATGGTGTTCAAATTAGAAGATGCACAGTATCTGCAGCATTCTAATTGTATTATAATCTTAAATTTTGATTAAAACCAGTTGTTTGGATAAGCAAATAAACAGACACAACTACTCTTAAAAATGAAAAATCAATAAGTAAATAAATAAATGAGAATCTTATACCCAAAGTATGCAGTACAGAGCCTGTTAAATTAATGACAACCTATACCTCCTTTAATAAGTTGTCACACTCAGTATAACATGAATAGCTAAATTGCAAACGAAATATCAATAGCGAACATTAAGCACATACCATTATAAATATTCCTCTTTATGAACAGACAATAACATATTTCCTGTCAGTCTACTAAGAAAACAGACCATTAAAAGGCACTTGATTGATGGCTTAATCGATACTGAAAACAATCAAACTACTATCCTTGGCCAAATAATCAAGTAAAATACCTGTGTAAGTGTTTCAATTCATCTTGTGAGTTAGTCCATATAAATTATTAAACACTTGAAAAGCAAATAATACATAATACCTGGATTACCAATATAATTGTGAGTCTTCTATTATTTAACGTAGAAAAACTGAGCTGGTGAATTGCCAGCAACAGGACAGGATTTGATAGACACTGGCTGTACTTTGATTTACAAGACATTTAGGCAAAAAATCTAACTTCTAAAGACTAAAGCTACTATAGACCATCAAAACTCTGGTCCCTTAAGTTTTCTTTAATTGGGAGACCTCTGTGCATAATAATAATAACAACTAGAAATTGCAAATTGCAAGTGAAGTGCTGCGAAGTACAACTGCATATTAATGTTCTTTGAACAAAATTATTTATGCGAGTCAAGTGAAAATAATGAATAATAAAAATATAACAAATAATATGAGACACGACCCATTGTCTATATTAGAACACTTCTCATTGGGTAACAAAGTCGTA